CATAAATAATCTGGGAACAAAAAATTTTACTTTTTCAATTGTAAATTTTGCTACTATTTTTCTTTCAAGTATAAAACTAAAGTAAAAAGTAAAAATCTATTTTATTGAAGTATTACGTGCCATTTGAGTTTTGAAATAAATTTTAATTATAAAGTATTGAAATTAATTTTTATTATAAAGAATCAGTATTTATATCATTTCTTTGAGTTCTTAATTTTTTCTTTCTAAATTTTTTTATTAAATCTAAAGATTTCATACTTGATACATGTAATATCATTTTGCATCATATTTGTATTTTTTCATTTCAGCTTCTTTTTCTTGTACCACTGAAACTTCACAGAATAATTGCGTACATTTTGAAGTTGTGTACCTGCTTATATGAAATTGTTTGAGGAATTTCACTCCATTTTTCCCTTAATTCTGATCTTGATGATTGTTTTCCAAAATTTTCAAAGATGGTTCTGATTTTGTGTAATCAACTCCTGCAGTTTTCAATCTCAATTTTTTAACTTCACACAATAATTGTACAAATATTTAAGTTGTCCACTTGGTACTATGGAATTGTTTGATAATTTTTTTCCTGACTTGGGAACTAAGTAATTTTTCATCAAAGGTAATATAAATAGTTTTTAACCCATATCTCTTGGAATTCACAGAGAGTTTGCAAATCTATAGAGGCTTTTACAAATTTTGGGACTATACATGACTACTATGTACATGAGTAGTAAACCTTGAAAATGAGATATTTTTGATTAAACTATGCTTCAAAATATTTAAAAAATGTTGATTTATATGTGTTTATTATACTATTACTACACTGTACTTTTTTTCTTACATTTGTATAAGTACAAATGTATTTTCATATCAGATGTCTGGTAACTTATATAAAAGCTATTATCTAGAGCTCTGTAAATAAAAAAAAATGTAAACATTAAGTTCTAAAATATACTTTTAATGAGTGGAAGATATTGTGGGGTACAGAATACATTTCGTAAATTATCAAAATACAAGTTACCTGTTTAAAAGCATGTCTGTTATTTTTACAGTACTTTTTAAATGAATTTAATAAATTATTATTATTTCAAATTGAGAATTTCTTCAGTTTCCATGATTGGAAAAATAATGTGAGATGCCTTGGAACATTCTGGTGACTATTGTACATTTTATAATGTACAATGGAAAGGACATTTCATTACTTAGATAAAATGGATTCAGTGGACTGATTAGCATAAAAAACTATGATTGAAAACCTTTGAAAGCAGCCAGGATAGCAGCTCCAAGGAAGATGGTCAAATAAATCTTCAACCAAGTCTGAGGCTTTACCAAGAAATTAAGAAGGCACGTTTATTTAAGCCAAATATTTGTATACATTTTCTAGAAATATTCGACAAGAAGTGCATATTAAGACAACACGCCAGCACCCTTCTGATCTTCTGCATGCAAAACACCATTGATGTATTAATTTTAATAAGTTTTATAATTTAAGTTACCATTTTCTTGTACAAGATATCGATCAAAATATTTAAAATTTCAAGGGGAGACGAGTACAATTAACAGCAAGATTTGTTCATTCAATGGGATATAACTTAAATTTGCACATCACTTTTGTGCAGTTAAATTCCAAACAAAAACCTTTGACTTGTTTTATTTTTATTATAAGTTTTCTGTTTAGTCAGGTTAATAGTTTCTCCTTGCTATAGATCAATGACATTTTGTATTTATTTGCATTACTAACAAATTATCGAATTAATTAGCAATGTTGCTAATCATCAGATGTTTTTCATTTTCCGCTGCTAGGCAAGACATCTCTGTCAACAGTTTATCTTACAAACTTGTGTTGATACTATTGTGTACATTTTGTAAGAAATCAGAACATTATATAGTGACTTTATATTTATAGAGAAATGGATTTGTAAAATATATAATGTGTCTTTTTTAATTCTTTTTAGGTTCTTCTGTGATATGTTTTCATGGTGTGGGAATAAGACTTGGTGGTCTAATACAGCTAATAAGAAGGTATGTACCAGTATGTTAGTCCTGTTTTGAAAAAAGAAAAAGTATTATAAAATGTATTTGGAAATAGCATGTGCTCTAAGCGTGAAGGTTTGGTAAGAAGTCTTTGCTTTCTTTAATTGCCTTTAAAGGAGTTAATTTAATCATCTGATTTGATTATGTAAAAGTTTGTTGGGATGCTGGTTTGCTGTTCTCAACTTCTATTACATATTTATAGACTTTTATTTAATTTGCCACTGGACATTTAGCAACCAACAATCAAATGAATCAATCATTCAAAATATGGAATATACATACAGTATATCAAAAATTCGTAAGGGTTCCACGGAACCCAGTGTCTCGCCTACTTTTTCTGTTAATCGCAGGCTCAACAAAAATGAGGAAGTAAATCAATAAAAATATTCCTCTTGATACTATCTTTTGATTGTAAGAAGCTTCTGTCCAAGTTTGGTAAAAATCCAGGATAGTTTATGAATCTAATAAATGTTTAAAAACTTAAACTGCAGACTGAATGTAATGTTAACTGGAAGAAAACAAAATTTCCTTCTAGATACTAGCATTTGATCATAAACAAGCTTCTGTCCAAGTTTGGTAGAAATCCAGGATAGTTTAAGAAAGTTATTAAAATTTCAAAAACTTTAACCACAGAGTGAATATTTGTGGACGCCGCCGACGAGGCCGACGGAATGTAGGATCGCTATGTCTCGCTTTTTCGACTAAAGTCGAAGGCTCGACAAAAATGATTCTTTTAAACAATCTTGAATGACTAATCATTTTATTTTTCAGGTTAGCATCACGGCTTGTCTGTAAAGATTGAAGCTGGGAGTGGGCATTGGAGCTGACTTTTATGGTAAGAACCAATACAAAAAAAAACCATATGTAAAAAAAGAAATATGTTAGACATCTACCATTGACTTGTTTTTCATCCTTTTCTGCTAATAAAGACTGGTAGTTCAAAAAATATATCAGCAAATCACATTTAAACAAAGTAAGAGAAAGGTTTTATGAATCATGATTATAATGACCAGTTATTTATTATTTTGCATTTGATATTGTTTCAATTTTCTGATTTTGTCAATTACGTTTAATTCTGTATATTTCTTTTTCAGGTAACTGTGGCTGCATTAAAGGGCTATGTGATTTTACTGTAACAGTAAAGAATGTAATTCAGACTATTTTTGTGTATGTTTGAGAAAATGTTTATAATTTTTACAAAAAGGAAAAAAAAATTATGCACAGGTTCTCCATTTTCAACAAGATTGGAAGTTGTAGGTTAATAGGTCTTTGAAATTTCAAAAATTACTTTCTATTTTCTGTTCATACTCATGTCTAGGCAAAGCACTTCCAGTAGTTTAAGAATGGAGAATCTAAAAAAAAAGAAAAAGAAAAAAATGTTCAATTATTGAAATGTTTTTTATTTTTGCAAATTGTAATATATTTTTTCACCTTTGTGTCATTTTTAGCTGAGTTTATAACAAAGGGTATATTATTTTAAGAATATTTTACAAGAAGCATAGTTGAAGAATATCTTGATGAAAGTAGATTGATTGATTTTTGGTATTTAACACCACTTTCAGCATGATTTGCTATATCTTGGCTGCCATGTTTGATTACCGGTATACTATTTATGTTTTTTTGTTATATATAACAAAGATGTGGAGTTCTAACAGGGTGAAATTAAGGTCAAAGAGAGGTAATTTATTATACTGTGTTTAACTTCAAATACTTGAAATTCCCTCAATGTTAGATTTTTATTTACTTGGATACTCACATTTATGCACTTTTTTTACATATCAGATGTTTTCTAGATAATAGAAATTTAGGGTGGGAAAAATTATGTGTCACTTAAAATAATTACGTGAAATTTTTCAAAAAGTTTATTAATTGAAAGTGCATCTGATATTTTTTATGTATGTTACTTTATTTTCTAAAAACAAATGGACACAACATAGATTGACAATAAGATATTGAGAAGAACCACCTTGTCAGCCAAGATAGCAGCTCTTAGGAAGATGGTCAATTAAATCTTCAACCAAGTCTGACTCTTTACCATGAAAATAGAAAAGGCAAGTTTATTTTAGCCAGATCTTTTAAGATAACAGACCCTTCTGAAATATTGCATTTAAAACACCATTGATGAATTAATTTACCAGTTTAGTATTTAAAGATACAAGATACATGAACAAGATTTTCTATTAAAATATCAATAGTAAATCCTAAAAATAGTCATTAAACTTCAAGAAAAGACCAGTACAATTTAAAACATGATTTTGCATTCAATGGGAGATAACTTTGTAAAAGATTCAGATATTTTTTGTGCAGTTAAATTTAAATCTGACGTTTTTTTACTTTTCTATCTTTTATATTGATTTAAAAAAAAATGATTTTATACAATTGTCTACCTGCAATAAGAAATCAGAACAATATTTAGTAAATTTTAGGTTATCAGTAACACATAAGGGACTTATCATTTTTTACCTGGGAGGGAGGGGCTGGTCATTTTGAAATGAAACATACAAAATTTCTTGATCCCCCCCATAATATTTCACTATTTTTATTTGATCCCCCCCCCGTAAAAAAATTTAGTGATCGAAGTGAGTGAAATATAACGACTAAATTATTCCGATTATGAAGCACCTATGCATTTAATATGGGACAAAATGACACAAAATGGTAGCTTTAGATCCTACATCACTAAAGTCTTGTGATGTCTTACTTAATTGTATATGAATGATGTTAAAAATATATTTCGATTTGACTGTTGTAATGTTCTTCTTGACATTTTGTCTCCGTTGAAGTATGTGAACTACTTATTTCTATGTGCAAAAAATATTGATCCCCCCACATTGAATTTATAAAAAAAAATTGAACCCCTCTTTTCCATATACAGAAAGAACTTGATCCCCCCTGCATTTTGACCAGCCCCCTCCCCCCCCCCCCCCCCCCCCCAGAAATTGATTTACAAAATGTATAATGTGTTGATTATAATTTCATTTCAGGTTCTTTCTGAGACATGTTTTCATGGTGTGGGAATAAGACTTGGTGGTCTTATACAGCTAATACAAAGGTATGTACCAGTATGTTAGTCCTGTTTTGGAAAACTCAAATGTATTATAAATATTTTATGAAAAAACAAGATTTGAACGCTTAAAAGATTTTTTACAGGAATCTACTCTTATTATTATATCAGTAACCAAATAAGAGTAAAGTTTAGGATCTGAATTGTTTACATAAAAATGTGTTGGCTTGTTGGATTGCTGTCTCATCCATATGTTCTTGACATATATAACACATTTTAAGACTATTTCTATTTAATGATTTGCCACTGGACCTTAAGCAACCAACAACCAATCATTCAATCTATTCAATATACATACGTAATACCAACAAAGAACCTTTTAAATAGTTTTTATACGCACGTTTACTGGACATATTATGGTATACCGTTGTCCGTCCGTCGTCAACATGTCGGACATTTAACTCAAAAATGCTTTAACCAATTTGCATAAAACTTTGGTGAATTGTTTATATCTATTGACGTGAGCTCCCTTTCGATTTTTTATAAATTTTAGATTTTACGTTTCCGAGTTACAGGGTTTTATTAATGAATTATCATTTTATATTTCAGGTTAGCATCACAGCTTGTCTGTAAGGATTGAAGCTGGGAGTGGGCATTGGAGCTGACTTTTATGGTAAGAATCAATACATAGATTTATGAACTTTTCATCCAAGAGCATTTTAAAGCCCAAGATTTTTGTTAGGCACAGATGTAAATCTTACATATTAATGTCTTCTTTACTTATAGCTGAATAAACAATTTAGAAGGAGATATAAAGATATATAAGGGAAGTCAAAAAGTATAATGTATAATGCGAAATCTTGGGATTTCAGTTTTTTTGTTATCTATAGTAAAAATGTCCCCATATATGAAAATATGTAAGTGTGGTATGTATGCCAATGAGACAGCTATCAACCAGAGACCAAATGATGTGGATGCAACTAAATGTCCCCCTATGCCTTCAACAATGAGCAAAACCTATATTGTATAGTTAGCTATAAAGGTTCAACATGACTAAATGTAAAAAAATTCAATCAAGTATGTTAATAGCCTGATATACTATATATAGCTATAAAACAATGTTAAAAAGATATTTGTCAAGACATCAGCCAATGACTTGTTTCTTATCCTTTTATTGCTAAGAAATACTGGTACTTTAAAATTTATGTCAACAAATCACTTTATAACAAAGAAAAAGAAATGTTCTATACATTATAATTGTAATGCTCAGTTAATTATAATTGTTTTGCATTAAATATTACTTCAATGTTCATGAGTAATGTATATTTCTTTTTCAGATAACTGTGGCTGCATAAAATGGTTGTGTGATATAACTGCAACAGTAAAGAATGTAATTCAGACTATTTTTGTGTATGCTTGAGAAAATGTTTATAATTTTTTTACAAAAAAAAAAAAAAAAATATGTAAAGATTCTCCATTTTCAACAAGATTGGAAGTTGTAGGTTAACTTGTATTTGACATTACAAAAATTCTTTCTATTTTCCGTTTATACTCATTTCTAGTCAAAACACTTCCAGCAGTTTAAGAATGGATAATCTAAAAGAAAAAGAAAGAAAAAAGAAAAAAAAATGTTCAATTATTGAAATGTATTTTTTTTTTTTGCAAATTGTAATGTATATATTTTTGCCATCTTTTTGTTATTTTAGGATTTGAGATACTTTCAAATTTTACAAGTTACTTTATACATGTAGTTAATGCAATTAAATCTGCCGATGTGAATATTCCCACTAAATTTCTTAGAAAATTTTTTAATTATTTTTGTTTTTTTTTAGTAACGTTTCAAAATACCTTACCATAGCAAATGCCTCTCTAGTGTAAACTAAAAAGATGAATAATGGTCTGCAGTAAATATATCCCCTTACAACCTTTTCTTTCGTGTTAATTTTAATATCTTTAAGATATGTGACAAGGGTGCTCTAATGCAGAGGAATTTACGAAGTTAAGAAGTTAGAAATATATTTTTTGCACTTTTTTTGTCATTTTTAGCTGATTTTAGTTTGTAACCAAGGTGGTATTTTTTAAAGAATAATTTTACAAAAGGCATAGTTGAAGAACATCTTGTTGAAATTGGATTGGTTGATTTTTGGTGTAAAACACCACTTTAACATGATTTACTATAATTTTGGCTGTAAATTTTTATTTGTGGAGACAGCCAGAGTGCCTGGTGAAAACATCACCTTCATCAGGGAAACGGGCAAACCCTAGTCAAATTAAGAATGAAGTTACACATTTCATGTGAGGGTTCTCAGTGTTGACAGGCTAGTGATACAGTAGTTGAACTACTTATAGGACCACTCTGCCAGCGTAAGTTGCTCAGTACGAAATATTTTATTGAAATGTGTTAGATTTTTGTTATCAATCTATTTTTTAATTTTAATTGTACTATTTTATTTATTTTGTTTAATATAACAAGGATGTGGAGTCCGAACAGGGTGAAATTTGGGTCAAAGGGAGGCAATTTATTATACCCCTGTTTAACTCCACATACTTGAAATTCCCTCAATGTTAGAATTTTCATTTACTTGGATATTCATGTTTGTACATTTTTTTTTAATATCAGATGTATACTAGCTAATATTGACTGTTATTTAGAGCTCTGTAATAAAAAAAAATAAATGTAAGCAGAGCTCTAGATAATAAGTATGCAGGGTGGGAGAAATCTTGGGTCATTTATAACAATTGATTTGCTGAAATTTTCAAGAAAGGGGATTTATTGGAAATGCATCTGATATATTTAATGTATAAAACTATATTTAAAAAAAAAAGATGTTAAGATGATGAGGAGAGCCACCTTGTCAGCCGGGAGAGCAGGTCTAAGGGAGATGGTCAATTTAATCTTCACCAAGTCTGAGGCTTTACCATGAAAAATATGTGGTAAGTTTATATATTCCACAAATTTTATGGTAATAATATATATATAGGCATTTAACATTATTTTTTAAGGGTTCTTTTCTATAAGTGTTTGATTTTTAGAGTATCTAGTCTTACATTTGTTTTCTGTCTGGTATCGAGTGAGCTGTGTTGGATAGAAACCAACTGTATGCAAGTTATTATCAATGAATTTGTAAACTTATTTGGGTCGAACAAATTTTTATGCAAAGTCTGTAACTGTTTGAATATTGAATTGATATAGAATCATTTTCATAAAAGCGTGGACAAGACGATTTCTTGGCGCTCTTATGTTATCTATTGACTGGGTCAGATAAGGTGAAAGTTTGTCTGTAACGCCCACTTGTCACATTGAATGTGTTCTAGACATTTAAACTGGGGTCGCCAAAGGTTTTAAATGCCTACATCAAATAGTACGAATTACTAGCAGAGGACTAAACCTTGTTGATTTAAATGTTGAATAATTATTTTCTTTTTTTCTTCTCTTGTGCCTACATGTACTTTGCTCTTTTATTCTATTTAAATCCCTATTGGAAGGCCTCTGACAGAATGAGTGAGCGTAAAATCACTGTTCTCGATAGCCAATGGCAAACAAGTTAAAGGTACTGTAAATTCAGAAATTATTGCGTGCAATTATTAATAAATAAATTTGGTGTATTTACTGTCTTCTGATTGGTTAAAAGTATTACTTTTATTTTCAATGTTGTCAATTTTTATGGCGACCGCCCACTCTGAAGTTGTATATTCATACGCCAACATCCGTGTACGTTGTTATGGTTAATATAAATAATATAAAAAGTTCTTTGAGCCTTATTTTTGATAGAAATTTATTTATAATGAATGACTATAATTTATTTTGAATTTATTGAACCATAAAATTAATGTTTGACTCTTCACATTTTACATAGTCCGCTTCAATTCGCGGATTATTCAATGTGAAGAGTCAAACATTATTTTTATGGTTCAATAAATTCAAAATAAATAATAACCATTCATTAATTGTGATTTTGTAATTTTAGACTAAATTAAATGCGATTTTAATTTTTGCAATATTGAGAAAAATCCTGTTTAATTCATATAAAAAATTTCAAAATGCTAGTTTAAATTATTGCCAATACAACCATGCTGCATTTTTCGCAATAATAAAAACATTGCAATAGTTTCTGAATTTACAGTAATTGAGTTAGTATTATTACCAACATAAGTATTGGGGTTGTCTTACGCCGTTATGAAAATGATTTTAAGAACCATCAAAAGAGAACAAAACCATCCGATTTTGTAATTGAATATTCCAAAATCATTGTCTTATACATATACATGCACTTGCACAAGGTCAATTTCTATCTCTAGCAGTTTAAAAGTTTATAAAGTGAGGATGAAAATGTATAACAGGTTTTAATAAATGAAACATAGCATTATTTTGTTAGTCTTCTTAGAGACAGATTGATCTGTAAAACAAGTAATTATTTTTTTATTTTTAGGTTGTTATAATGATGATGTTTTCATGGTGTTGGGAGTAAGACTTGGATGTCTGATATTGTTAACATGTTGGTAGGTAATCAAGCATCTTTTTAGTAATATAATATTTGAAATCAATTTCATAAGGTTCTTTAGTACCAAAAAAATAATTTTACACTGATGAGATACCGGATGAATTTTTTTGGTAAATATAAAACAAGTTTATAATTCAGAATACCAAATATTTTTTCCATGATTGTTTTGTTATCCTAGTGCAATTTTAAATTTAGTACATGTGTAATAATTTTTTTAAGGAAAGTTTAGTATAACTGACTACTTTTATATTCCAGGTTAGCAGCAGGTTTCCATTGGGTTACTTGCTGGGATAAAGCTGTTATAAGGTGAGAACTTATTCATCAACATACAACTTTAATGTGTTTATGTTATAGTGTGATGAATGTCACTAAATAGATTTCAATATATATATATTTTTTTAATTTACAATTAAAAAAAATCAGTATTCAATCTTTTCATTTTAAAATAATGTACCCTTTAAAGCAGATACTAGATCTGAAGAAGATATATGAAGGGGAGATAACAATTAAATCGGATATTTTTGATACTATATATTTTTGAGTAATCAATATAAGTAATAAACAAATTGTTTAACATACACTGATGTCTGTTTCTTTATTCCTGTTAGATTATTTTAAAATTAAGAATCAACAATTGAAATTTAACTTTGTTTCTTTTTCAGTCGAAAGAGTTGCTGTTGCTGCCTTCCTTGTATGGTAAAATCCTCAGACTACAATCCTGCATACCATTGGATGAACTGTTGCTATCTTTTGTAAAAAAAAATCAGTAGATATTTGTCTTATAAGCAGAATGAATTATAAATGCATTTAATTTTTAATGCTTTATTATTCAAATTATAAATATTTATTTCATTATTTTTTCTTGCATTCAATTATTGTTTTGTGATTGAAAAAATATAAAAAAAAAAACTGTGAAATTATTGCTATTTGAGAGGTCCCAAAGGTATGATGTATGGTTTCACAAGATAACAATAAGACTTGCTTCAGTTTACATATATTTTTTAAGTTATGTACACTGGTTAAGAATTATAAGTCCTTTGTGAAATGATTTTTTTCTGGTTAGAAACCTATTAAGTAGGACTTTGATGGCCAAACACTAAAAGGGAATAAAACAAATCCCCTATTAAACAATTTAAGTACTGAGTTTTTGGTGCAATATGAACTAGAAATAAAAATGTTTAGTTAGATGGTTTGTTTTGACTCTGCATTCTTTACATTCATACAAATTAATGGCTGTCAGTTTTATTTATTGGTTTTGTTTATATATTATAAATGCATTATTCAGCATCTGAGACCACTCAAGTGAAAATAATTACATAGTTTTTGCAGTTTGTCATATTTTCTCATTTTTTGTGTGATTGATTTCTATATTTTTTTCTTATTTATGATTATTTATATTTTAATGTTTGATTTTTGAGGCTTGTACTCAGCTTCTAAACAATTACCTCCCCCCTCCACATGTATAACCAGGATCCTGTAAAAGAAGTTATGATTTTGAAGGATGGATGGATACTAGTAATTAAAAATGCAAGATTTTTTTAATGCGCTAGTTCATAATGTAAAAGTCTGCACAAGACATCTAACCCTACCTGAACACATTATTCTGACTTCCAGCTGACCAGTCTTTGCTCCTACTCCTAATTGCTGAATGCTAATAGCAGGGGAACATCAAATACCAATTTTCAATTCTTTGATATGACCCAGGGCAGGACCAAATCCCATGCCCATCTGCACTCATGTTGAGCATAAAAAGGTTATTAAAGAAGATTTGTCTGTCAATGTTTGTCCATCATCATCTCTCATCCACAGCTTATAAACTATTGGAAGGTTTTCATTTAAACTTTCAGATTATCTTCTGTATCTAATGGCTGTGTGTATTTTATTTTATTATAATGAAATTTTGGGCTTCTCAATTGTAATGAATGGACCTCCTAAGTATTTGAAAAAAAAGGGAAAGAAGCTTCTCATACCACCATTTTATCATGTGAAGGATAGGTTGGTTCAAATATATTTGTTTTTAATCATGTTTTTAGTATTTGGATCTCATTATGACAAAATTTTACTGACTTAAATTCAAAATAAATTTGGGGTTCACACTGATATATATTACCACTGTAGCTTTAATGTAAATTTTATAAGGCTTTGCTATAACAAGATTTGTGTTTTATCTTGTTTTATCTGATTTTAGTGGTTTTTATGTGATTTTATTTGTTTTTACTGTCAAATCTTGTTATACCAAGCCTTAGTATGATTGAGTTTATATATTTTGATTATACATGCAATTCAAAATATAAATTTACATAATGAGATCAGACATTTATTATGCTTTTAACTCTTCTTAGTGGATAAAATAGAAAAATGAATGAACATAAATATTGAAGTGGTCGTTGAAGATTGACCAAATTACAAGATTTATAAATGCAGAATCTTGCTCTAACGAAATCTATGTTCTTATCAGCTGAACCAACCTATCCTTCAATATGAGTAATAAAATTTTATAAATGGAAAAGTCCATTCTTCGATTGGGGAACCTTTGGATGTGAAAAAAATATACACAATGCCAACAGATACTGAAGATTATTTGAAAGTTTAGGCAAAAACAATTCAATCCTTTAATTGTGATTGGAAGTTGTAGACGGATGAGCAAACAGATGATATACTTGCTTACTATGGCACATTTCCTAAAGGATATGGACTAATGGTATGAGTTTTGCTCATGGTTGAAGGCTGCAGGTGACTGATAGTTGTTAAATTCTATGTCATTTGATCTCTGGTGGAGAGTTGTCCCGTTGGCAATCATATCTCCTCTTTTTATTTTATATGAAATAATTACTTATTACTTCCTGGGCAAAAAGTTCTGGTTCCAAGAAAATAATAAAAAAAATATTTATATTATACATGTATTGTTAAATAACTATCCTACTTTGATATAAAAAATTGACTTTGGTTAGAAATTGGGAGGAATTATAAAGAAACTTTATATACAATATAAAAGCTTGGGGTTATAAATGCTTAATGAAATGCAGTTAACTATTTCCTTGGTGAGCTAATAATTTTTGCACAGATCACGATATTAGTTTATTTAAATAACTCAGTAAATAAATTGAGTACACCTCATAAATGAATTTGATTCATGTATTTTTATGCATTTTTTATCTTAGTATTTACCATTGTATTCCTTGTTATATTTGTAAATGCCTCTTCGTATGTGACAAACTGAGGATTCATATATTTTATGGAATTATATAAATTTATTTGAAGTTTGGTATTTAAAAGTATTGGAAAGCACCAAGTTTAATATTGAGCAAAAAAAAATATTCCTTTATGACCTAAGGATATTAAAATTTAAGACATGTATCTCAGAACAGAATTGATTTTCTAAATTCTATTTAAACAGCTAGTCTGGGAACTGGTATCAAGAAACTAAAAAGAATCCTCAGCGCTGTCAGTTATTTTGTATAATTGTAATATTTAACCAATGATACCTTACCCATGATGCAGATCCTTTTCCTCCTTTTACTTAAAAGGGACTAAAAACTTATTATTATTACAATTTCTTTGGTATTTGTACACACTTGATGGAGCAGAATGGGTCTGGTTTCATTTGGGTATTTTATATTATGATGCATGATATAAATAAATAGGTAAATAAAAATTTAAATTGAGAAAACCTATCTTATATTTTATTTGAGTCTGAATGACAAATGAAGGGGGAAGAGGTTTCTGTGGTCAAGGGTAGCACACAGCTGATTTATTGTATGGTATGGACAAAGTTGAAAAAGCGAGACTTGGGCATGCTTTTTCCATAAGCAGCAGCTTCAACAATGTATTTGATTGTGATAAGTTCAAGTTAAAGAAAACAACTAGTGGTAGGTCAATGATATTTGGTATGCAGTTATATAAGCATTGAAACATCTTATTTCTAAGGAGATTATTTTGCTTCTTTCCCTCAGTCATAGTCGACTTAAAACTTTTAATTAGTTTACATGTATAAGTTTGTGATTAGGTCAATTGAAAGGGAACTATTAAAGTGGTATGTCAATGATATTTGGTATACAGATGTATAAGCATTGACAAATCTCAGATCCATAGAGATTGTTCAGCTCCAGCGTCAGTCACAAGGTGATTTATATTTTTCTGTTACTAAGGAAACCAAAGCGATAAATCCATTGATTTACTGTAATAAATTTTACTGTGCATTTGTATGTGTATGTTATACCATATCAAGCAAACACAAAGCAAGTAATCAAATCATTGGTACAATTTTATCGAGATTGCATGGACATTCTTAATATCAGACCTGTTTATTGACTGAATGTTTTGCATTATTTACATGTGATTTGTGATTAGATCAGTTTAAGATGAGTGACTAATATCTGATATTTGGTATGCAGTTGTATTGGCATTTGCAAGTCTCATTTTCATAGAGATTATTTGGTCCCACTTCCTTATCATGGTTCATGGACTTTGAAACTTTTCACAGTTTAACAAGGAACCAATTGATAAGTCAATGGTGTTGGGTATGCAGTTTTATAAGCATTAGCATTTCCATGGTGTTTTTATTTTGCCCTGAACCGTCAGTCATGGTTCATTGCATAGATAAGTTTAAATATTGCAATTTATTTTCAACATTTGCATTATACCACCAAAAAAAGCAAGACATATCTCTGTGTCAACAGTTTATATTTCCATCTCTTGGTATCTTTCAACAACATGTTTTGAGTTTTAAATGTCACAGAAACTTCTTTGCTAGTTTAAACAAGACTTGACACAAATGATACTTAGGAATTACATGACAGAAATGTTTATTGGACTTGATGATTACCTAATTGGCTGCCAAGTCTTTAAATAGATCTAGATTTCTAAAATGATCTAGTTTATATAAAGGCTCATCAGATACAAAACACAGGGATACAGATCTAGCCGTGGATGCTCCTGATATAAAACTTCATAATCCAGACTGAAGAATAATGAGTTAATCCATATTTGTATGCAGTTGCCTTATGGTCTGGTTTAATCTGGCATATGAACATTATCTTGATTCCATTTTTAAGGGTATGTGTACATTATTTGTTTTCAAATTAATTTGACAGTTTTTATGTGTAATAAGGACAATTAGTTCTCTTATGGTTATTGCCTGTGATCTATTTCTCACATGAAGAGATATATTTTGTATCACATTGCATGGATTGGGATAAGAAAAAGGTTTACGAAAAATTTGTTAATTTGAGTGGCTTATCCTGCACCATTTGGTCATCATTTAGGTTCCATGATTTGGTCTGTTCTCGGTCAGATTCTCTAGGTCAACAATGTATGGTGAACAGAATGATTGTAATGTGAATATGATTGTCTGATGAGATACATCTGACCTTCGCCTTTTTTTGAAGTGTGGTCAACATTAAGTTTTTATAGACTGCAAAACTTTTGCCATTTTATAATGGTGTGGATATGTCGTCAATGTGGTCTGTAGACATATGTTTTCCAGACAATAACTTGAGTATAAGTGTATAGATCTCAAAGAAATAAAACCACAAGGTCCCATACCACAAAAGCAAGGTATGAATTGAATTTGGGGTTATTGCCCTAACAGTTTAGGAATAAAGGTTAAAAAAAAAAGATTTTCCGGGGTTTCCAGACCATAACTTGAGAATAAATCCATGGATTTCTATGAAATTATTATACAAGATTTCAAACCAAAACGGGAAAGTTGGAATTGATTTTGGTGATTATGGCCCAAACTGTTTATGAATTAGGAACCAAACAAACACCAATACTTTGTATACATTATTTGTTTCTTGACCAATTTCAATTCGATGAGAATCATGTATTCTTTGGGTTCTTTAATATGCTGAATC